TTTTCGCATGTAGATTGAATCATTTTCATTATGAATTATGTATTGGAAGATATGGTGCAAATGGTCTATGCTTTGGGGGAAAATGACGGAAACTGCCTCTTTGCATCTACGATTTACAAAGAGAAGTTCTCCGAAAGAAGACAATCAAATGAAAGGCATTTCAGGCTTCAAAAACAAGATTTGAAAGAACTGGTAATGTCAATCATGAGAAATTCAAACGTGGCTCCCCTGTAACAAATGAAAAGAATACATTTTGAATTGCTATTCACCTTGTTAAAATCCCCATGTGAGTACCCGAAACCTGAGCAGGAAATTAGGATTTTCTCAAACCAGCGTGTCTTGAATGATACGAGCAAGCAAAGTTCATCCTTACCACATGCAGTTGATGCAAGAGTTAAGAGAAAGAGATTTTGAAAAACGTGTTCAATTTTACCAATGGGGCTTAGAACAGAAAAATCAGAAAAATGATTTTTTCGATTTCGTTGTCTTTCAGATTGCCACACACTTGTTAAAGTGTACGACGGACAGTTTTGAAAGCCATTTTCGTAATAATTTTTTCAAAAATTTTAACTGATCCGTTATGTATTCCGGTTCGTATCGAGGAACTATGAAATAAGCAAATGAATTAACATAACCTCAAGAATTGACTTTTGCCATCTCCTGATGATGTTAACATGGTTAGTGAAATGCACATCGAAATACATAATTTTGTTCTGCTGTAGAAAAAGTTTTTTCAATAAGTTATTTCACATATAGGTCTACTGATACTACATTTCTTGATACAGCCCAAATTTACTTTAGGTGTACTTTTTGTAACCTTCAAGAAATAGGTTTCGAATGTATATCGTTCTGAAGATACGAATATTTTCATTTACAGCACTGAACCTGATTCTTTGATTCCTTAGTATCAAAACTTCTTGAGGAGTATTCGTGTCCTATCCCAAAAAAATATCTATTGTTGATCGATTTTGTTTCTACAGTTCTTCAACAAGTTTGCAGTTGGATCTGCGCCTGTGCAATCGTGTTATAGATATTATAAATAATTTATTATAAGCGTAATTGTCAGAAACGTTCTATTATTTGCATTATTTCCCCAAGGGAATACTGACAGGTGTTTATTTGAGTAGTTAAGTAGGTGAACGATTTGCATAAAATTATATATTAACTGTACTCTGTACAATAACTCGAGATATTCTTGTTAAACACTTTTAATTCCTTTCAATTTGGTTGTTATTTTTTAATTGCAGGAAACAGAAAACATTTTTCGGTTACACAACTGAAATCGAATATTGATCAGTTATTTGTAGGCTAATACAAATATCTGTTATTCAAGGAATTTTCGATGGATTACAGAAAATTCCTTATAACCATAAACGAGAGGAATATTTCTGAAGGGATTCTGAATTTCGACTAAAAATATATAAACAGAGAATATTGAAATTCACAATAGTTTGATATTCATGCGTCCAACTAGAATGAAATTGGCGTTGAAGTGAAAGAGCAATTCATTGAATTTCTGAAAAACTCAAATGTCAGATTTGCGAGGATGTTATTGCAAAAAGTAGCAAAAGTCCCAATCAACAAGCTTGGGTGAATGAATTCTCTAATAATTTTTCTGTTTTCCTATATTCATTTCTTTCTTTCACTGAAAAAATCAACCAGTGAACCCAGAATCAAATGAGAACAAAAAGAGGATCACATCACGAGTAAGTTTAGCTAGATGTGAAAGAATGATTTGCATACCAGGAATCATCAACTTACTGTGAAAATCTACATTGGCTATTAACACGACGTATCTCTATCTCACTATCACAGCCCTGTGAGGCAGTAGTTGGAGAGGAAAATCAGTGTTTTTTCAGGTGGCCATCAAAATCACCAGATTCCATACCATTGATTATTTCTTTCGGTCATCTGATATTTTCATTTATCATGCTGAGAAACATGATTCAATATTTTTTTGTTGTGCAGTTTTGTGGACAAAAATAATAGAATAATAAACCTATGACTGACACTCGATTGAATGGATAATCTTTTCAATTGAGTTGTTGTTCGATTCTGGCAGTACGCCTTATTCCAAAGTTGCAATTTCAACATTCCCACTGGAAGTTTATGAGGTGTAAGAAAGTGAGAGTATCAAGATTTGATCATAACTGAATACAAAATTAATTAGGAATGAATAGTTTTGTAGTATTATTTTATAAACAGTTTCAGTGACTCCCTTGGTCCATATACAGGGTGTCCCTGGACTTCCTCTTTTCCTCTCGGGAATTTATAGATGGAGTCAAAATATCACCAGTACTTCATATAACTTTTTTTCCTAAAAGTCTTCGTAACCAAGTTACGGGCCCTCGAAGTTACAAAATGAAAAATGTTTTTCTTTGATAACTTTTCAAGTGAATATTCAAAATCATCCAAATTTTGGTAATTGACTAAACAAATGAATTCC